TTCATGTTTCTGGGAATTACATGAGAGTATTGTTAATTCTTAAAAACTTCAGAAGCATCCCTCATTAGAAAAGTAAATGTAAAATTTAAAATTAGGTTGGAAAAAAACTTAGTTTAGCAGAGATGTTGTCAGAGAATTGGGTTTCCAGAAGAGAGAAAAAAAACTGGTTTTTTTAAGTAAAAGAAAGAAGCACCTAAAGAAAAGCTACCTATGTCTTTTGCTCCTAAAGAAGAGGAACCTATGTTTGATAGCCCTCAAAATTAGTTATTGAAAATCTACATCAATCAAGCTAAGGCTGTTTTTCTGCCTAATTTTGAATAATTGACTAATACTGAAACCAAGCTGGTCTGCTGAATTAATCCTTTACGTGATGATATTTTTTTCTCACTAGATAATTTCTATAATCATTGTTGAACTTATTTGCAAAGTTTACTTAAGACTAAAAACTTCATTCTATAATATTCTAATCATATTAAGCAATTCATTGATAATAATGTGCAATATATTTTCCTTGTTTTTGTATACAAAATGGTGGGACTTCAGCAATTCATAACAATATTCCAATAACATTAACTGTGACTACATTAAACTGCATCTACTGTACCAAATTTATACATAAAAAATATACTCAGTATTAGAAGTTGGGGGGAAAAAAAACTTTTATACTTAAATATATATATGTGCTAAAATAATAACTTTTCAGTTGCTGCTCAAAGTCAGTAAAAAAAAAAAAATCAATGATTAAGTATTTATTGCATTTTCGAGATGACAGATGCATTGCATTTGATTAAAATAAAAATAGACTTATTTTAACCAATTCAAGAGTACTTACATGATTTTTTACTTTAAAAATCAACTCATTTTATTCCTTTAAATCAAAAAACTTGGTTAAAACCTTAATTCAGTATTGTATCGTAAAGAAAATACGTCACATGCAAATTTATCAGGAATTATTAGAATATTAACTTGCTGTTTGGAGATTTTAGAACACATATAGCATATTAGCCATAGCATAATTAGTACAGTACAAAGTCCGAAATCCGGACATCCATTATCCAGAATGATCTAAAATCTGGACATCAAAACTAACAACAACGTTTTTTCTCATAAGCTTTGCGCACGCATGTTCGATTACCCCCTCTGCGCATAATAAAACATCTGGAGAATCCCATTTATTAATTTCACTTCGACATGAAATAAAACACCTTGTTATTGAAGAAACAATCATTTTAGCATAAATTTGTACGATCAGTAAGTTGGCTCCGTTGCTGCATATCTGCTTGACACATATCTGTAACCGAAACATTCCACATAGCTACATCATTGATCCGACGCCAACCTGGCGAATCATTATTTATTAAACTTTTCTTTCATCACCACATGTTTATCAAAATATGACAACTTGTGCCAGTTCTCAATAAGGCTTAATCATATGTGGGAATTTATTTATTCAGAACTCTGATAAGCCTTAAGCATGTGCAAGAAATAGACAAGTATAATAAATAACTAAACTAATACAATTCAGGCTTAATTGGCTCTGCACAATAGAAGCAACATAAAATTTAATGGAACAACTTGTCGTTAGTCGCCAAGCTCATAACGAATAGCCAAATATGTATAGCGAAGGACAGCTAAATTTGATGATGATAGCCACTAATTTTAAAGGTTTTCGGATATCGGAAAACAAAGGTGAAATTTTCCATTTAACCCTTTATGACACACCTAAAACTTTCCTTCTGTATATACAGAAAAATTGAATGAAAAAGGATTTATAGGTTACTATAAGTTACTCTGAACCTTCTTTATTTATAGCAGATAGCAGCTCAACACAAACCAGTCAATATATTTTAGCAATGTTTAGTTTTTTAAGACCCTCATTTTTCAATGAAATCTTCGAGCTCACCGATAATCTAGGACAACTAAGCATCTGTATTCTTTGTTTCTCCGCATCTCATCGGTCAGTTCATTGACAGCAATGCTCGTTTCAGCACTCTTTTCAAAGCTCTATTTAATCAGAGTGCCACTTTGGGCACACCCACAGAATTAAAACGACAAGTGCTATCTTCACAAAATTTTACTTGTGTTCTCCTCTAGGCCTAATTAGACTGCCTACCTTTTTTTTTTTTTTTTTTTTTTTTTTTTATCATCAAAACTCAGACTTTAAAAGGTAGCGTGCCGGAAAGGGTTAATGGATTTTGTAAAGAAATGTGGAGAAGCGGTAATAAATAGAGATGATATAAAAGAAGTTTTTCATTGTGATGACAATGCTTCTCAATCATCAATCAATTAATGAATGGCGAAATTTATAGTATGGTTCTAGATCCATAAAATACCTCTACCGTTAATGAAGAAAGTGACAGAGAAGTTACTGAAAACGAGAAAATTTCGATTGACAAGTAAGTCGGAATTCTTGAAACAGCAGTTACAAGACTTCAATAATGTAACTTAACAAGAGATTATGTCCGTCTTCAGAATTAAAAAGAAAGTATTATCACAAAAAAATGAAGCAACTTAAACAACTTACATTGAAAGAAATGTTTAATAAGGTAAACAAATAAATATTAAGCTTTTTCTTTGTAAATTTTGATACCCTTTAGATCATAAATACTTCATTATTTCATAAATCACGATTTCATATTTTTAATTTTATAATTTCTACATGCCAACTTACTAGATTTAAACTGATGCTCTAATATCCGAAAAAATCCCAAATTCGGAATCATCGAAGTCCTGACAAGTCCAGATTTTGAACTTTTACTGTATATATTAATCAGATTCATTAACTTCAAAAGGATAATTTCAAAGTAAAATTTGCAATAATCTAATTCAAAAAAAAAATTTAGTGAAAATTTTGAGACTTTATAAAAAAGACTTTTTTTAATAAGAAACATGTTGTAAAAACAGTAGCAATAAGCTTAAAATAGTATACTAAATACTTTAATAAATTTGCAAATTTAAATTCATAAAATTATAATACAGTCAAAAGTCTTTAATTCGGACTGGTCGGGACTTCGATTCCTGATTATCGGTTCTTTCGGATTATAGATCATCAATTTAAATCTGGTAAGATGGCATGCAAAAATTATAAAATTAAAAATATGAACTGCAATTTATGAAATAAAGAACAATTATGATCTAAAGAGTATCAAAATTTACAAAAAAAAAGCTTAATATTTATTTGTTTACTTAATGAAACATTTCTTTCAATGCGCGCATGCATAAAGCATACATTACGCATAGTCGAAATTAGAAAATTGCAACCAGAAAACTATTTGATGTGTATTCGTGATATTTATAACGATGAGGAATTTGATTTAAATCATATCAAAGACTGAGTACATCGAGATGAAATACTACATTTAGTAAGGAATTATAAGCCGAATAAAATAAAAACATCTGCCCTGAAGATGAGGATAGTGCTGACAGATCAACTTCCAGTTCATTGCGTGTCACTACGTTATGATGAGAATAATCTACAAGATCAAAAATATACACATTTTTCTTTCTTCCTTTTTCCTATGAAAGTGGAGTTAATAAGCATTTTTCAGTAACTGATGATATTTTAAAATCTAAAGGTCCTATCGCACATCAAAACATTTCAGAAGAATAAGTGTTTAGTACAAATTCTGCTTTGTCACATGATATTAAACTGCCAACCGACATGGATCTTTTCAAGATTACAACATAAAGAAGAAACTCATTTTCAATTACAAATGATGGTTGATAATGGGCGAATTGATGCTAATGGCCAACTGGTTATAGAAAACTAACAACTTATGATTTTCTAAAAAAAGAAGGAAAAAAATCGATGTCTTTTTTCCAAAAGGTAAGCCATTAGATAAATTTTTTTTTAGTTCATCCAACAAATGGTTATTTTATAGAAGCCTAATGATACTATCTAGTATTTATCAACAAAAAGAGTGTATCTTACGATTTCAAAGTCATTGTATATTATTAGGGAAAAGTAAGTGCAAATAATACTTGGTTACATAGCAGTTTAAAATTCAAACTAATGCCAATTATCAAATAAATCTCCTAAATATAGCCAAAAATATTTATAAGATAGCAAATTTGTATGTTAACCAGTGATATATGTCTACATTTGCATATTTGTAGTCATTTGCATATCTAAAAATCAAATGGCTGAGCACATTAAGAAGAAAGTATAAACTCAACAGCAATCAGTATCAAGTAAAACCTACAGACTACAACAAAATAATATTTGAGGCATTTTAATGAACATCAAACTATGAATGATAAAAATAAGAAAAGCACTGATAAGAAAATTATAATGAGGATTCTAAACTCTTTTTTAAAAAAATTTCAAACACCTTTGGCAAAGTGGCAGCAATAGCTGCTATGGAAGATGACTCATTTTACAAAACTCTTGAAAAACATTTTAAAATTATTGAATCAGCACGTCAGTCTAAATGTAATACCAATCAACAGGTTCAAGGGCTGACAGACAAGCTCTGGGTCAGTTGAAATCATCAATTTATAAGAATTTTGAACAAATCAAAGCTGCTAATTTATTTAGAAGCATGTAAGGCAAGTTTGAAAGATGCCGTTTCAAGACCAAATTATGCTAGTATTGTGCCACTATCTGATGTCACAAAGTATAATGACAAGTCCTTGTTTTCTTCCGATTATTGCTTGGTTGTAGACTTTGATCATCAAAATTGATCATCTGATGATGTTAGGAAAATTATTAAACTAAAAATAAATCCATTAGAGGCTAAGCTGGATATATGTAATTTGAAAAATATTAGAAGTAATAAAGTTTTCACTTCAGTGCATTAGCACTTAAATTTTGCGGTACATTAATGCATCAACTGCTCATTCTCTGCCACTTTACAATTCCATTTCCAGTTTGTGGTTTAATTTGAATCAAATTCTTCTGTTTTAATGAATTTTGTATCCATGATTAGAGTGGTAAGACAACTTTATGATTAAAATTGTTAATATGAGAAACAGATAAAAATAACTTGATTGAACTGTACCATTTTTAACTGAAACTTCAATCATATGCTTCTCTTCATCCCCCTGGTATCCTATGAATGCTAATTTGCAGCCAGCAAAAGGTAACAGTTTATATTGCATCTAAAAACAGAAAAATTTACTTTTAGAAAGATATAAAAATACAAGAAAACATTAAAAATTGTTACAAAAAACATACATCTACATAATGAAGCAACATACTTCATTCTACTTAATGAAGCTAGACTTTGCTTGAAATGTTAAGAAATATAAATACTAGAATTCATTACATTTCTTAATTATTATAATGTATTATATCATATACATTATAATAAATATAATTATTATAATGTATTTAAGATTACACAGCAAATGATTATAAAAATTTATGGAATGATTGATGAAAATTTAAAACCTTGTGCAGAATCAGAATAACAATTGCAATTCATTTAAACAAAATATGCAATAAAAAAATCCGATGTGGACATCATACTATGACTTCCTTATATGGCCTATTAAATTATACATAGTTTTTTGCTGCACTTGGTTTAAACTTGCTCATGTTTTGGCAATGTTGTATTTAAGAAATCATTTTGAAAAATAACAAAATCTAACTTTTAATTCAGTCTCAGGACATCTGTTATTGAAGTCCCAGTACATAGTCCCAGTACATCTGTTATTATTGCACATCTGTTATTGTTATCTTATATTTTAATACAGTACATCTGTTATTGAAGTATATGACCTTCGAATTATTCTAACTTAATTAGCCAATTAACTAAATTATTACTTTGAATTATTCTAACTTAATTAGCCGATCCCCAAGTTCAAGCCAAGTTGAAAAGGACATAAAAAATTACCAATTTTCATATTAAATATCTGAATTTTTGTAGTACGAGAGTCAAACTTTTTATTTTTATTTTTTCATAATAAATATAAAACCTTCCCAAACATAAGTAGAAGGAACTGGGACTGTATTAAAAGTTAGATTTTATTTTTCAAAATTATTTCTTAAATACAACATTGCCAAAACATGAGTATTTACATCATTTAAAACACATCTGTTATTGAAATATATGACTACAACCAGCGATCACAAAAATAAGGCTGGGTAAGACCTAAGCTGAGCAAGGGAGTGAGCATATACGATTGTGATATTGCCGATTGCAATAAAAAAGGAGGTGAGCAACTAAATATTAAAGCAGTCTTATATACAAATTTCAACGTTCTACAGCTAATGATTTTTCAGCTTCAAAAGATACATACGTACATAAATACAGTCATCACTAAAAATTCCACATTACAATCTGTTTTGGAATAACGAGTACTTTATTTCATATGCACAGACATCATGTAAAAAAATACTCAAAATGTAATGGATATTTCCACTGAAATCTGATAAAATTTTTTGTGATTACAATACTTCTTTTATCTCATGCAAAAAAAAAAGTATTTGCATCAAAACACAAAGATAAAATAAAAACTACAAAATTAAGCTACTCTACTTTACCTTTTTAATTTTTTTTTTTTTTTTTTTTTTTTTTTTTTTGTTTACTTGACTTTTATATGCATCTTTATTTATAAGATCAAATTTATCACTGCAGAATTTCAAATTCTATACCATCAGTTAAATAAGAAAATAATATTTCATATTTCTAGCATAATTTTACCAAACTTCATAGTTTTTTTCCCACCATTAAATAATATAACTATTAATAATACCAAATGCCCATTTCAGTCTCTTAAAAATAAATACTGAATTAATAACAAGAAAGTTAACATTCTTATCATATTTAAAGACATCACGTAAAAATGCTATGTTTAGATATATGACATAGCATTCTTCATAGCTAAACAAAACACAAGTGAATCATTGATTTACAAGAAGCTCTGTACTCGTAACCTAATAAAAATCTCCAAGGAGAAACAAGATCCGGATTTTGCTATACATCCCAACCCAAAATCCAGTTCATGAATAAGAGGAGGACGAATAAAGAATGTGTAAAATTTTGTTAATTTTTCAAACATAAAAAATTAATGCATATTTTTTTTTTCACTTACCAACTCATCATCTGTTGCATTACAGTTAGCATCTCGTCTTCGAGCCCATGTCTGATAAATCCATTCCGATGTCATGATTGGAACACCAAAACTTGCAGCATACTAAATATGCAGAATATGTTAAATGTGAATCAATGATGGATATGTATACAGGGTTGATACATATTTCTGCACAAGAAAACTAAGTAAAATAACTCTAAATAAAAATAATTCAGAAATGGTGTTTTATAATATTTATTATCTTGTTTAAATTTCAGAATCAAGATTCTTGCAAATAAAAAAAAAATTAAAGGCAAAGACATTTTAAAACATGGCAAAGGAAAATAAAATTTTAATTATTTTTCCAAAAAACCAACTATGACAAATTTGTCAAAATTTGCACATGTGCTTTAAATTTTACTAGAAGTTATAATCTGACAGAAAAATTGTCTCAACAGTCAACCAGAATCACTGATCCTTTATTTTATTTGAATTACTTTTTTTTTTATTATTTCTTCACAAATGAATGCCCCCTTTTACTATTGCTAGATCATTCCTCATACTCCTTTCCAAAACTCGAAAAATACATATATATATATATAGTTATTTAAATTTATATGATTTTTAATATGTTTTATAAATTAAACTCTAAAAAGTATCAGAATTGTTGATAAATATCAAAACTCTAATAAAAGCAATTTTTATATTCATAAGCAAACTAAATACTTAACAGCTAAATGAAAGGCTGGCTGCATTCCCCTCCCTGAAACTATGAAATCCCCCCTTGGTTGAGAACCCTCGCTCTACATTGCTTCTATTACATCTAGTGCTGAAGCTGATTAACCTATTAACTGCCATGCACCCAGTTTGGGAATTTGCCTTAGGAGCAGAAATTTGGTAACTTTAATTAGGTTGGTAATTTATGATTACTTTTTTAACATTGCTGTTTACCTTTCTCAAGCTTTTGCATAAGTTGTTGAATAGTAGTTGTTAAACGAGCGAGTTGGAGAGTATTATTTGTGAGAAGTGCAATTTTTGCGAATTTCAAAGATTTCAACATTTTTAAAATGCGATATGTCATATCATTATGTACATCATTTCCGATTCCTGTGTACTTTGTGTTCTCAAATGGTTTTAGAATATACTTACTATCGATTAACCTATTAACTGCCATGCACCCAGTTCGGGGATTTGCCTTAGGAGCAGAAATTTGGTAACTTTAATTAGGTTGGTAATTAATGATTACTTTTTTTTAACATTGTTGTTTACCTTTCTCAAGCTTTTGCATAAGTTGTTGAATAGTAGTTGTTAAATGAGCGAGTTGGAGAGTATTATTTGTGAGAAGTGCAATTTTTGCGAATTTCAAAGATTTCAACATTTTCAAAATGCGATATGTCATATCACTATGTACATCATTTCCAATTCCTGTGTACTTAGTGTTCTCAAATGGTTTTAGAATATACTTACTATCTATTTATTGTATTGTCAATGTGAATTTTATTTTCCGGCGAGGGCTACTTGAATGTTGATCGATCCCCCATTTGGGGCTCGTAGCAGATTCCATCTATATTTCAATTTTTAGTCTCTTTATAATCTAGACACCCAGAAATAAATGTAAATTGAGAGAAAAAAATGTGGCAGTGAATAGGTTAACTCTCTACATAAATAAGTGGAGCTTTATAAAATTCAAACTGACTTTGAAGCTCACATTTTCATTTCATTAGGGCGAAGCATGGCTGTAAAGCTAATGTCAAAGCTCAAGAAACTTTTTTTTTCATTGTAAAGATAATACTTTGTTGATAACACCTAGTTGCAAGATAGCATGAAAAAGCAATCAGAGATTCTGAAACTTTTGCACCAGGATAGCCAATTGTTTCTCATTGTTTACAACATCAACTTGTAATGGCTTTGTTATATGCCACATGGTTTAAATTCTAAATTCATCCAAAATGCTAATTCCCACACCAAATAGCAGTCACAGATAAGAGATGGAAATGTCAAAGGTGAAAAATTAAGGACCTTTGCAATTTTCAATTGAAATTAGAAACTTAGACCAAAAGTCAAAAAAAAAAAAAAACTTGAGGACTTTTGAGGACTAGTCGAAGAAGACAAGCTTTCATAAGACTTCATATGAAGACCTGGCTCATAGTCAAGTTACACATGGAAAAAAACAATAAAAACATTATGCAGTACACCCATCCATCAGGAACTAAACCACAGGTAAACTATAATAAATCCATTGTTGTATTTATTGAGCCACTAACTGCCTGACCTTACAAGGAATATTTATTCATATTTATACATAATAAGGTGTTAAAAAGCAACAATTTTATTCATTCATTAACAGGAAACAAAAATAAAAGGATCTACCAGTATTCAACGATATTAACTCAGCCACTGGTAGACAAATAACTTTTATAGAAACTACAGTACGAATAAAAGTGAATGTATCACTGCATATGTAAACATGCACACATAACATTACATGATAAATAGGGGAAAACAATTTATTGTACTATACTTCGCGACAAGCTAACCCGAAAACACATACAAGGCTAGAATGGCCTTTTCCCAGCTTTTCACCCTGTTCTTCAAGTTATCTATGCGCCGTACACTGCCCACGGATATTCAATTCCTCCAATTCGCTACACAATTGGCGACTTCTTGCCAAATCCAGCGTATTTAAATAACAATCTTTTTATGCAGTGAACCTGCATTTGAAATTCATAGTTCACTGTAGTGTAAAATGTAGGACATGTTATTCATTGTCTTAATTTATATAAAATATTTCACTATTATCTAAATGTGAGGTATATGAATTTGATGGCATTTAAAACCGGAAACATTACTTAAAATTTGGAAAGGAAGAGCTAACAATGTATTGCTTGCAGTTTGGGTCAAATATTTTTCCCAAGACCATTCGCTTAGTTAAAAATAAAATATATAAATTTTGAAAATATGGTATTGTTTTCTCTTAAATTTTAAGAGTTTACGCAGCTTGTTGCTACCAAAACAGTGAACGAGGAGAAAATTTTCGATTTTTATTTTAAAGATGTTAATTTGATTTTAATTTGCAATTGTTTAAAAAACTCTGACAATATTTTATAGCAGACTTTTAAAAATTATATCCTGTATTAATTGTCTCCAAAGACGCATACATTTCCCAGTCAGGCCCAGATAATCACCCTCCTACAGTATGTTTTATCCTATCTTTCTGATTATTGTTTAAAATCAAAAATAAAATGAATAAAAAGACTGGAAACCGAGATCTTCAGATTGCAGTCTAATGACTAAAGAGTTTACCATTAAAAATTTCAAGGTATTAGAAAAATATTAAAACTTTAAAATTGTGAAACAAACAAAAATTAAGAAACAAATGATCTTATGCCAACTAATTAATCGTATACCATTTAATTCCACTAATCATTTATAATTATAATATTAGAAACGTCTTATTAGTTACAAGAACTAAAAAAGTATAAAAAACTGAAAGGTTCAGTGCATTTACTGCTTTTAAGACATCTACCATATTAAACGACAGTTTGCTTGCATTTTAAAAACAAATTAGTTTTTATGCTTTGAAGAATGAAACGTCTATGCACGATGTGGCATGAAAGGAGAGTCTTTTGCTTCGCGAAGGAAAATACATTGCTTCCCCTTCTCAATTTATAAAAAGCAGACCGATTCAGCTGTCCGAGAATCAGCGAATTATATTTTGTCATGTAGGACTGTATAAGCTAAGTAAAAACAATACATTTCCTTCGAGGTATAAAAACAGCAAGCATATCATATGGAAAAATCTGGCTATTCTTTTCCTTAGATGGAATCATCTGCAAATCAAGTGTATTAATGATAGAGTTGCTTAAGACGTGAAACACTTGTAGTATGCAGAGAGTTCGTTTGTAATGACTTAAGCTCTGAACTGCATAGGAGTCCTTCAGTATGTTATATAAAAGAAGTCCTTTACCCTTATAAAATCCCCAGGAAGCCATCTCTTCCTTTAGAAAGAAACCCATGTTCCTTCTACCATAGTTAACTTAATTGATCAAAACTTCCGTATTGGATAGGTTAAGCGATTTGAATATAGTGAAGCAAACAAGAGCTATTCGACTAAGGGGGGAGATGCATTCGTGGAGGACTTTCTAAAGGAAACAAGCTCATATTCACGTTACGCATGGGAAAATGACCAAAACCGATCATGAATACAGCCCATTAACTTGGGTTTAAGTGATGTCAAACTACCAGTATTTAGAGATTTAACCCCTCGGCTACTGGTGGGACACTTTCATATGATATTTTCTAAGGGATTTGTTAGCTCATATTTATGATGTTATTTATAACTGTTTATAGTTCTGCCTTTTTTAAAATTTTATATTTGGCCTTAAAAACAGCCCTTGTATTTTTAATTTGTGGCCCAGAAAAGGGCCCTTTTTTTTTAACTAAGGTATTCAGTCCCGCTAAGCTTATAGCAAGTAACAATATCGTTATCGTATTTATTAGGAAAATGCTCCCATAATATGACAAAAGCATTCATTACGATAATCTTGGCGGTACCGTTTTTTTCAGGTTTTCCAGCTTCATGAGGTTGGAAATTATACACATATGTCGAAGATGAAACAGATACCATAGCAACTGCTTGTTTCTCCTCCCAGTCAATGAATTAATGAATGCTTTTATTCCTTTTCTTGTCAAGAGTGGGGTGAGGCCCAGGTTGCTGGAATTTACAGTTTTGCCAATAATGCCAAAAGAAAAGGGGATTTCCTCCTGCTGGTCATTGAATAATTGACCAGCAGGAAAACATCCCCCCGTAATCTATCGTTTCACACATTTTTTCCTTCTGTTCTCTTTGTTCAACAGATTTCATATTTCACAGAGTAATTTTTACAATATTACTTCTTGAATGGCAGAACTATATTCTACTGCGGACACATACACTTTCTACTATATCCAGTGTTCTCAACTTAGGTTGACCTGAAGTATAGTTGTTTCTCCCCCCTAAAATCAAATAAAACAAGTAGAACATTGTTAGGTACACACATTTATGCAAAGGTGTTATTCTCCATATATAATTTATTACCCATCTTGAATACCCTTGGATAATATTAAAAAAATACGACACATAAGAAATTATCAATGAATGGACAAAACTGAAAAGCAAGTTTTATCATTAGAGTTCATAATATTACATTTTAAATTACAGGACACTGAAATGCATATATAGAGTAAAATATTTTTTTTAAAAAAACAGATGAGCACACTGTTAAGCATAGTTAAGTATGACCATCCAGGAATTCTTGAAATATTTAAATATAAAATCTCATGAGCCACTGCAAAATCATGAGAGGACATGTTTACAGATATTTTGAAAAATGCACATCATCTTATATATATGCGGCTTAAGTGTTTGTCGCTGATAGTTTATTGGTTGCTTGCGTAACTGTAAATTGTTTTATTTCTTGTGCAGTGCAGTGCAGTGCATGATGAATATTATGAGAAAGCTAAGCTGGAAAAATTTAAAATACAAGATCACGTGCATTTAACATTTAATAAATAAATTTAGCATCTATATATAAGAGAATTTGGAAATATTCAAGAGTTTCAAGAGTTCGTAAAAAAACGGACATAAAATTAAAAATAATTGGTGGTCCTCTGGAAGGCGAGCTTAAAAATTATGGTAAGATCTACGCAAGAAATGTTGTGTACAAAGAGATCTTTGACATGTGAATTAACATTTTATTACATAAATCACCTTTATTTAAGAAATGTACCGCCAGTAGTTTCCTTCATTACACTCTACTTTAACCAATTAAGCAAGTAGAAGGGAGAAACCCCGTGGGGCAGTAAAGCAAATAGGCGTCCTCGCCGCCTGCCCTGGGTAATTCAGTTTGAATTACTAGACACCTTCGCACAAATCATTTTAATAACAATTTATAATATCTAGAACAGTGGTCATTTCGTATGACCGCCGGGCTTTATATTAATATATAACCAGCTAAGAAATTTTTGATAAACATGAAGTTTTAGAATATTACAAATAAAAAACAAATTTTTACAAATAATGAGATACAAGAAGAAAAGCTAAATAATATAATATTACTGAAATCTTATATTGCGATGACAATATCTTAAATCAACAATCAACTGCTGGAACCATAAATATCAGTAGCATGGTTTTAAATCGAGAAAATATCAACTTTTTGGCGTTCAGTCGCATTTTAATTTCACGTGCCAATTCAGAAAAAAATTTATATTCAAAAGAAGTCTTTCTTAAAGAAAGATTAATAAAGAATATTTATAATTTTATGATTTCTACATATCATCTCACTAAATTTAAATCAATGATCTAAAATCTAGAAATTTCCAAAATCTAGAATAGCCAAAGTTCTGACTATTCCGGATACTGGACTTTGTACTGTTACTTTTTTTTTATCCCACTTCTGACACCAATTGTTGAATTTTTCTTTTTCTTTCTGACACCAGCTGTTGTGTTATTTTCTTACTTCACGTTCGAACGGGGTTCGTAGATACGATACTTGATGAAGTACTTTATTAGCCAGTATTGCCAGGAAAGCTCCAAAACATGTTTTACAGTCGTTGATGAACTATTATAAACACGCTAACATGATCAGCGACCCAGCCTTCAGGGAAGGCAGCCTTCAGGCTATCACGGTAGAGACAGCTTCCTGCAAAGCAGCCGACTCTGCTTTCTGGAGTACAGCTCCCGACTCTGCTTGGTCATTCTCGGAACTCCACGTACTCTCGAGACTCTCCACGCTACAGCTCGCGATGCACTCAACGACACACAGAGCACAGCTCCTGACTCTCGGTTCAGTCGTTTCCAGAGCTCAACACGCTCTCTCGACGATGCACTAACCACGATACTCTATGAGACTCTTTCGGTGCACTCGCTGGCCGACTGTCAACGCGATCGCCTCCGCAGGGATCGACTCGCTAGACAAGACACCAACTACTCACTCGATGAGAGACACCCTTTTCCTCACGATGAAGCACACTTGCTGACTGCAGACCAGCACGGTTTATATAGCTTCCGGCTTGTGTTCGGGAAAATTCTGGACTAAACCAGTAAGAATTCGTTCCAGAAGGTCCTTCAACCGTCCATGGTGTATTGCCGATTTTGTCTCCAAATGGGTGATTTCTCGCCAAATGTGGTATCACTGCCTTCCCTTGCCATTTTATGGCAACCCTAAAACTGTTTTGTGGGGAAGCCATCTCACCACGCCTGTACATTTCGTAACAGTACCATATTAAATTAATGAAATATCTGCAATGGATATAAATTGGATTGTAAACAAGACATTAGTACTTACTTTGTATTTTTCACCTCCTTTAGCGGCAGAAGTTGCAACCAGGTGAGTTGTCTTGGATATATTAAAATCTTTCCGAATTGTACCTCCCATATGATGTATTAAGACAACCATGGCATTCTGAAATATTAATACATTTGTTGTCATAAAGCAATTATCACAGAATTTATAACAATCAAGCTACTTCAAAACTAATTTTCACTATAATATTAATCTTAATAAAAGATTCTTTTTAAATGCTATTAAGTTATATTTATATGCATTGGATTGTGTAATAAAATTAATCACAGCTATCAAATTGTTTCAATTAGACATTATGGTAAAAAATGGAAAAAATCAAGGTCGTTCAAAAAATTTGAAAGGAAAAAATGAAATTTTTACCATTATTTAAATTTAAATTATTTATATTATTTAAATTATTATTTATAATTATTTAAATTTCCATTTAATACCTGTAAGTGTTTTTGCTATTTTTTGGTTATCCACACCACCACTGAAAAATTACAAATTTTCTTGAGGGAAAGCAATATATTGCCAAAATGGTAATGTGGCAGCCCACAATGTCACCAAAAGTATTTATGGAGTTATACGTGTAGAATGTCCATTTTGGCTGATGTGTAATGACAACTTGTATAGATGTCAAGTTTGTATAATTCTCTCTCTCTCTTTTTTTTAAAGAGAACACGGATCACTGTGTAAATGGGAAGAATAATGAAAAAAGAAAGATTTCTCAAAAACAAGTGCTTTATTACCAATTTTTCTCAATTCTCTTTTAATTTTATTGATTGATTGCTCTTGTTTGGAATTCTTGGTGCACCACCAAGCTAATGCACGAAAGGCAACAGCCATTGTTTCAAATGTCTTTTGTGCATTAGCTTGGCGCAAATAGTAACTAACGAGTTCATAAATGCTACTGGAAGTTGCCGATGAGTATCGCTCACCACTTGGTTTGATGCGGAAACTCAATGTGCAGCAATAACTATTTACATTTAGTTTCTTCGAAGCGGGTTTCTACGCTCTTTCTGTATTATCTTATGAATCTTTTAGATAAGAAAATCTTATCTTTTCTTATCTATCACAAAGTCTCTTCTCAGAGAAATGAACCCGGAATAAGACATATTACTGTAATACTTGCCCCAACAAGCTGGGCATGCATCTTGGGAAATGTACATGAAATATCTTACACAGAAAAATTTTAGAGACTAATATTTAAGAAATTATGTTTATAAAAGTATCTAGATATATAAAATGTTAAAATATAAAAATTTTATACACTAATTTGGGTGTGTAATGATTTTAAGTTACTGGTAAGAAAAGCGTCAAAAAGGCTTCAAAATGTCTCGAGTTGCTGGTGCAAAGGCCCCGAGTGTAAAGGGAAACTATTTTTACGGTTTTAGCCCATCAGCATATCTGATATAGCATATTTTATAAAACTGAACACTAATTAACCAATTTAATAAAATTTAGGCAAACAACATTAAAAATCAAAACTTACCAGTTCTTCTTTAACACGAAAACCAGAAAATGATATGACCAGATTCTTCATAGATGTAGTGTACAAAGGTCGAATATTGTTCGGTAGAGGCTAAAATTTTCAATAATCTTATTATGCAGCTAAACTTTTTTTTTTTTTTTTTTAATTGGAATATTAGAATACAGTCAACAATAACAAATGAAGTTAAATTCTGAACATGTTTTAAAACATAAAATTTAAAATCTTGTCAGCAAAATCTTCAAGATTTTCATAAAATTATGTGATTACCATTTAGAAAAATAGCATTTTCAGAATCTCAAACTGAACTCAGAAAGGATTTTTATAACTAATGTCCTACTACATGAGATAATACCGAAACTCATAGTTAATAAGAGGGCAGTTAATAAAACAAGGAAAGAATCCTATTTGAATCCCTATTATAATTAACAGAAAAGTACTACTGATAACTTACCTACATTTTTAAATTTTGATTGGTTAAATTTAAATCAGCACTGAAATGTTGGTACTTATGAATTATTCTGTATCGTTGGTGGAAATTTAGGGCAATGGTCGCCAATTGATACTGTGGATTTCTAAAGGACATGGTCATCCAGAACTGCTACTAAATCATACTACTTGTCTGATCAAGAGTATTAATATTTAAGTACCAAAATTTCTGTCTCTTAATAAGATGTGCAATTTCTCATTGCATTTCTTTTTGTCCCCATCAAGTTTCTTACTCACTTCACAGTGATGTCTTTTTTCTTTGCATTACTCTGGTACTTCGATCAGGGTCATTTTGAAATAGAAGACTAACAGCAGCAAAGTGAGAAAGAAAAACGGGAATTTTTTTTTTTAATTGAGCAGTTTACTTTTAATTGATGATTTAATAATGTATATATAGCAGATTATGTACAATGAAATTACATACTGTACTGAATAAACATTCGTAAATACTAAAACATATGTAAGCACTGCTGCTAGCCCATCTTTTTCAGTTCTTATAGATTATAGGGACCATGGTTCACAGACTGCTTTTCCAAGTTCTTGCCAATAGAAATATCGGCATTATAGGGCATTGCTCCCTTTGTGCCCATCAAATGGCAGCACTAGGCTAGGACCAGATTTCTTTTGCCATCCCATTCTAGGATTAGAAAACACTGTGTTAATAATGCATGTTATTGTTAATCTTGTTGTTAAACTGTCAATTTTTAATTGTAAACTTTTTATGTGTAACTTCCATGCATGTTCTAATTCAGCATGCCACAACTGGTCACTCGAAAATTGTAACAGGATCACCCAGCAAGTTCATCACCAGTTTGTCTACTAGAGTATAATACAGCATGCTCTCAATAGATGTTTTACTTCACGTAGTGAAAGTTTATCTATGCTCTTGTCCTCCTACAATATTCTTCCGTTTTGCATCTTGGTGCAAACTGAAAAACTTTCTCCTGCCAAGTGACTTACACATTCTTTACCATAGTCCAAATAATCCAGTCTACTACATCAAAGACTTGCTCAAGCAAATTATGCAATCAAATTTCCCCCTCCTCCCACTTTTTTTTTTTTTTTTTTTTTTTTTTTTTTGTAAAAAAATAAAAAGTACTCTCTAAAATGTCAATCATCCGCAAGAAATAGATATTAAATGACAAAGTAGTTATTCTCACAGTACATGAAACTGGTCTCTACAAGCTACAAAATTAATAAACACTTTGAAAAACACTAAATCCTTGGTTGACAAGGACCTCTTTACTAGACTTTTGACCATCTGATTTAACTGCCTTTTTGTAAAAATCTTTCTGTATATTTTAGTACAAGGCTAGTTGACACTTTTTCTTCTTATATATATCTTGTATCAAGCTTTAAAATAAACATTAACAGATTTTTTTCAGTTAATAATTTATATTTTTCCCACTTTTGAAAATATATTTCTTCTTTTAGACATTAGCAATTAATCAAATTTATTTGGTTCCAATAATTTTTCTTTTATTTATTTTGTTTCATTATATATTTGCTAATCTGTAAAATGTTATTTCCCAAATGTTACATTTTTGGTTATATCACAAGGTAGAAAAGATAAATAATTAATGTCTAGTACTATGTTGTAAAATAATTACCTCGTTCTTCTTTGCATACTGCATCACAGTTGTAGGACCCAAAATTCTCTGGCCTGCTTTGTGAAGTGATGTATAAGTATCACCCTCAAATTCATCCAAAATATATATAGTTGTAAATTCTGCACCTTGATTTATAAATTCTACCCCACTTGAACTATATACAATTGGTAGATCAAAATGCTACAAAGAGAAATAAATTATAGTCACATAACAATGTTCAGCAATTACTACTCATATATATTCATTCAAAAATGATATAAAACACAATAGACATGATACATAAACATACTACAAATGGGCAAATTTCAGTTGATGATATGGCTGCTAAAATGAAATTTAACAAAACAAAATTTTAAATTTAAATTTTGCAAAGAAAGTAAAATTTCAGTTAGGATATGTTGTGCAACACTTTTAAATGTAGACATTTACTTTAATTAAGGTAAAAATTCAACTTAAAGTAGAATTTCTCAGTTGAATATTGAAATTCAGAAGAACTAGTATTTATAAATAATAAAGTAAACATCTTATGTGTATCATTGCTTTACCCTGTAAGAAACTGTAAAAATATAAATAAATCACCTTTTGATGTCCTTAGTTCAATTATGATTCATATAAACAGAACCATGATAAAATTTGGCAATTCCTTTCACAATCAATACAATACAGCTAAATATCACTGCACATTTTATAATATGTGAAAATTAATCATAATAAAATAGGCTGGATTATGTATTTTTCAACTGTTCAAGGCTGTTTAAGTCTTTAATTAAAAATCTCTTCCAGAATTTGTATCTAAAATAACTATATATTACTAGGGCAATGTACAATAATTAATCTTTTAAAGAAAATTTTACTAAATATATTCTAGTAGAACTTAAACTCGCCTAGAAAAGTAAGAATAAGCACACATTAAATCACTTGCTGCCCATGATTAAATATTTACTTACATATAATAGATCTTTCCATTTGGTTTCAGTCAAGACATAAATATCCTAAAAATTCTACATTTGAAGTCTTTTAATCTATCAGACAATGAAAATAAATTTTAGAGTTACTCTAAGTTAAACCGATTCTGGTAATTTTTATCTTTGCTAAAAAGAAAATTAAATAAAAAGAATAATTTTTAATTACTTTCCAACTTATACTATTAATTCTGCACCTTGATTTACAAATTCTACCGCACTTGAACTATATACAATTGGTAGATCAAAATGTTACAGAGAAATAAATCATAGTCACATAACAATGTTCAGCAATTATTACTCATACATATTTATTTAGAAATGATGTAAAAATACAATTCAGTATCCTGCAAGTTTCATAATCTTAGTCTGATAATGTGCTGAATAAAAAGTATCTTATTCTAAAAATTTAAAACATTCTTATAAATTTTCACTTGTCCTCTGAAAAGAATTATTCTTAATTAGTCAAATCCAGATTTAGGAACTGTTGAGGAATAACTAGAAATACCTTACTAAATCATAAATGTTTCATTAAATTTGAAAATTAATGGAATAACATAAAACTTTAAAATTAACATTTGAACCAGTTTCTGGCTTTCTAATACATTAAGCTTATAACACACTGCAGTAAAAAATTATAATGAAGAAGCCTTTTATAGCTGGTTAGCATTTTAACACTTTTGACTACAGCGTCACTCAGGGCTGTGGAGTCCGAGTTGGAGTCATGGAGTTGGAAGCGGAGTTGGACAGATTTTGGGGTAAAAGGAGTCAGAAATGGAGTCGCTAAAAACAGGTCGACTCTGACTCCAATTTTTGTTGGACAGTTTAAATTTGAAATAAAATTAAAGTGAATTGAAAAAAAAAAAAAATTAATGACAAGCTGAGTTATTTTTATTTATGAAATATATACATTAGCTTTATTCTATTTTATTGACATATTAACCCTCTGAGCGTTACAGGATTTTAGATCCGTCATGAAGACAGATATTTAAACAGCATTTATTAATTGTATTTGCTTAATTACTTATTTTAGTCTGTATTTTCACAAACTTACATTCATTACCATGATATTTGCATTATTAAAGAAAGTAAGAAAGCAAAATATCTTAAATTATAAGCTAATATATGGGCAAGTAGCAAAACTTCTGATGACCGAATAAAGCCAGCTATAACGCTCAGAGGGTTACTAAATAAATATAAGGTAGGAGGGTGGATGTGATATTTGCCATTAGTGATTAAACTGATTCATTTAGTTACTCCATTCATTTACAAATCTCAGTAGTAAATTTAGGTAAGCAGCAATAGCAACAAGAACTCCCAAAATTGATGTCATTCTTAGGAAGCGAGCAGGAAAAAGAGCAATTAATGATCAAGCAACGCGATGGAAAAGTACATATTTCATGATATAGAAGTTGTTAGAATTAAAAACTTTTTTAGAAGATTTAGATAACCCTAATGTTACAACAATCAGAAAGACTGTAGAATGATCTTGCAGAATTGGAAATTCTTCTTTCTACACCATATATAGCCACCAAAAAGTTACAAACTGAAGAATTGACAGGAGGCGAGAATGGAAGAATGTAATATTTGTTCTTTCTGAAATGGAGGGTTTATTGCAGAAGGAATCATTTCTTCAATGAAGAAAAGAGAAAATAGTTTGCTAGACAATGAGACCTTGCTGAGTTCAATATATGTAGATCCAGAACACCGAATTTTGTTGGATGATGAACAAATTAAGAAGACAAAAAAGTCATTTATGAACATTCTATAAGAATGAAATTATTTTCAGAACAATTGGCGTATTCGAATCAGGACAGTAAAACTGCAGACACTGCAACTAAGCCTTTATCATCCTCTTCCACTGATGAATTAGATTTTGAGAAATATTTGAATAATATTGAAAAGGCTAAGGCAAAGCAAATGAAAATAAAGAGCCTTTAGCTATAAAAATGAAAAAATAGAAACAAGATTTCATGGCTTTGAAGACACATGGCTTTGAAGAAACATGGCTTGAAGACACATGGCTTTGAACCAACACATGGCTTTGAAGAAAGAGAAAAATACGATTGCTCTTGCAAGACACCGCTTTTAGAACTTGTAAAAATGTATCCTGAAAAGTTAAAAGAAGTGCCCTAATAGTAACAGCTCTTCCTCCTACTCAAGTCAAAATGGAAAGAATCTTCTTAGCTTTGAAGTTTATAAAATCTGATCTATGGTATTCCAACAAAGATCTTGCTAAAGCTATACTGTTTCTTAGAGATAACTAATGCCAGTTTTTCCATTTCATAATAAATGCTAATTAATATAAATAATTTGCTATGCCATTAATTTTTTTCTGTAGCATCTATTACTTCTTTTATATTAAAAAATAAGCTGCAACACATGTGTATATATTTACATATATATATGAGGGAGTCTGAGTCAGGGTCTAAAATTCCAGGAGTCTGAATCTCATTTTTCCTACCGACTCCACAGCCCTGGCGTCGCCTACATTCAGGTGACAGCAAAAATTCTAATCAGGCCATGTTCCTCACATTCAGGTGACGGTTCTCTGAGTACTTACAAGATAAAGTACAGATTTTAAAAAATTACTGTTGATTCTTGAAAGAAAATTATTGTTGCCGACAGCTAAATTCATTTCGTTCACTAACCTGAATTGCGCTTTCTCGGGTGTACACCATATTTATTATCACTTCATTTATCAGTATTGGAATCAGATTTGTCTATAAACATCTTTCTGAAAAACTCGACTATTCCTCATCGCTGCTATTCGGATTTTTGTAAGCTTCGCAACAAGTTTCCTCTTCACGGCTCTATGATTCCCTTAAAAATTACTCTTTCATTTTTCTTTTAGACATTGCAAAAAATTGGGACAACAATTTTAACAAAAAAATTTCAACTATTTTTTCAACTATTTATTACTCCACAAAAAATATTTGTAAAAGAAATGATTTGTCAAATCTTTTCTTAGATACTTCATTGTTCAGGAAAGGTTTTAAACTGAATACATGTCCAAAAATGTTTCGTTCTAGGCATTCTAAATTTTCTTAAACTTGTGAGACTGTCAAAGCAGCACTGGCAAATTTTTTTAATCGGTGGTACTACTACATATTTACTCTCATGTTTTCTCCTCTCTTCTAACTAATTTTATGCTTAAAAATCAAGAAGCGAGAAAATATATGGTATACGCCATTTATGAATAGACTGCTTAAATGATAAACAAAGCACATTTAAAACTGTAGCTGCCAGCATTAAAATCTTAAAAACCGGAAGATCATGAGAAACTGGAATGGCTTCACATTGTGCATCGGCAATCATGTGCATTCAATTTAACCCAACTGACTTTAATTCAATTATTTGTAATTCAGGTCACTCAACTATTTTTAACTAAATTCATGTTATTCAACTATTTGTAATTCATGTCAATCACCGATTTTTAACTATATTCATGTTGTTGCTTAACAAGTAAATCATAGGTTCGAAAATCTGAGCCGACACTTTTTAAAAACACCAACATTTATTTTCACGCCATTTCTAATTCTACAAAATCTTAAATTCAACTAACTATCAAATAGAAAAGGAGACGTAGACGTAATGATGCATCTGGGCACATGACAGACGAATTCTTTAGGGTTTCCACAGAAAGGCAGTGTGTCGCCACACGTTATTTAACTATTTTAATATAAATCTGATGTAATATATATTAGTATTTAATTAGGTATTTTAAATTTTATATTTTTTGGCCAATTAAAAATTTTCTTACATTTTTATACAGGAAAAATTCCCACTTAGTGAATGAAAGCTTTCATTTATCAAAGTACTTTTAAATATGATGAAAATAAAAAATCTGAAAATTAAAAACTCTGAAAGCTTTTGTATTTTATATTACACCCAAAAGGGTGTTTTTTTTTTTTTTTTTTTTTTTTTCATTTAATCCTTCCTGGACTAATGCCCCTTTTGGTCTAATAATTAATACACATAATATTTGTGAGGCTAAACTTAATGTACCATACATTGAAATAAAATTAAATACAAATATCAAGTGATTAAACGTTTCTTGAATCTACACATAAAAATCTACAATTGTCTACAGTAGGTTAATACAATTCAGATCAAACAAAATTTAATAAGAAATATTAAGTAAAATAATGAAAACATCGAGTTTAAATTATTCTGAAAAATAACCAGAACAGGGAAGGGGGACATTCTTTAGTAAGGCTAAAAATTAAAAACCGCGAGATGTGGTGATCTAATGGGAGATGCGATGAAAAACTGAGAAAGTTAAGAGCTATGAAAAACACATATACAAACACAGTATTGCATTACATATTTCAGGATTTATTTACTTATAGGAAGTATTTTCCTATTTGTGCTTGCACTTTACATTGTTAACATAAACACAAATTTCTAAATCATATGCTAAAATTAAGGGAATACACAAGGGGAAAATATGCAAGTAAATATGATATACTTAAAAAAAAAAACCATTACAAATCAGTCATTGTACAAAATTATTTTAGACACTGTAAAACTTATTTTGCATCAACATAGAGGAATATTAATTTCCTTGACTCTGTTTTCCCTTTCCAAACTGATTCACCATCTAGTCTAAACTGAAGGAATACTGTTAAAAGAAGAATAATTTAGTACAGTCAAAAGTCGTTAATCCGGACTCTTCGGGACTTCGGCGATTCCGGATTATCGATTTTTCCGGATTATAGATCATCAGTTTAAATCTCGTAAGATGGCATGCAGAAAATACTAAAATTAAAAATATGAAACCGTAATTTATGAAATAAAGAACAATTATGATCTAAAGGGTATCAAAATTTGCAAAAAGAAAAAGCTTAATATTTATTTGTTTACTTTATTAAACATTTCTTTCAATGTAAGTTGTTTAAGTTTTGCTTTGTTTCATGTGATAATACTTTCTCCTTAATTCTATTAAACACATAATTTCTTGTTCAGTTACAAAGTTCCGCTGTTCAAGTCCTATAATTGCTGTGTCAAGAACACCGACTAATTTGTCAATCGAAATTTTTTCGTTTTCAATAACCTCTGGGTCACTTTCTTCGCTATCGAAAGCGAATTATAATGACGAGGAACTTGATTTAAAATCATATCAAAGACGGAGCATATCGAGATGAAATACTACATTTGGTAAGGAATTATAAGCCAAATAAAATAAAACATCTGCGCTGAAGATAAGGATAGTGCTGACAGATCAACTTCCAATTCATTACGCGCCCGCCGCGGCGATCCCCCGCCGAGCAGCGTGAAATTGATAAACAGATTTCGAATTTCAAAACATACTTTCGCTTTAGATCCTTTACATATTAACAAATATATATCGGAAATTCTATTTGATATAATCGAAAGTTTAAGCTTACTTTTTATAAAATTGCTCTTACAGTCTGCAAAAAATAATAAGCCGGATCCAATTCGAAAATTAAGGAACCAACGCAATCATCAACATTAACTGAAATAGATAATTAGATAATTTGACCTTATACGTCCATTATACATAAAACGCGCATGCGAAAACGTATTCTGCACTTGCGCACACTCATATGCGCAGTCGTAAAAGGTCTTACGCGCTCGCGTAAACGCCTATGCGCATGTGTCAATGCGGCGCACGCGCAGAAAGTTTTTAGTTTTGAGGTCCGGATTATAGATCATTCCGAATTATGGGTGTCCGAATTAACGACTTTTGACTGTATTTGTTTTGTATTTTTCAAGCCATACCAAAACAATTGTTTAATTTTGTGCTAACTTAAGTATCCAAGTCAATTCATTATGTAAACAATTAATAGACGGCCAGCCACCCGAAATCATCATAAGCTGTTTCCTGGAAAATGCAAATCTGAAAAGGAGTTGTTGGTTATAATTGCATCCCAGAAACTCTGCTTATATTTTGCCTTCCCATAAGCAGCTTACCATTTTCATGGTAAGATTTCTTTAAAGAAGACTGCTTTACATAAAACTACAGATGTCATTAAAAAATTTCAGAACTATTTGGTAGGTTACGGTATGTTCTTGTGATAGAAATCTTTGTAAGAAGCTTCTTTGTGAAAACTAGAGATGATAGCATTTGAAAATTTCACAACTACTTTTTGTGTAAACAAAACAAAAAAATAAATAAAAGGAGTACAGTCAAAAGTCGTTAATTCAGACACCCATAATCCGGAATGATCTATAATCCGGACCTCAAAGCTAAAAACTTTCTGCGCATGCGCCGCGTTGACACATGCGCATAGGCGTTTACACGTGCGCGTAAGACCTCTTACGACTGCGCATTTGCGTGTGCGCAAGCGCAGAATACGTTTTCGCGTGCACGTTTTATGTATAACGAACGGTATAAGCTAAAACTATCTAATTATCTATTTCAGTTAATGTTGATGATTGCGTTGTTCCTTAATTTTTAATTGGATCCGGCTTATTATTTTTGCAGACTGTAAGAGCAATACTATAAAGTAAACTTGAACTTCGATTATGTCAAATAGAATTTCCGAACTGAAGCTCCCAAAGGATCGTACAAAACGAAAGTATGTTTCGATGTCCATCAAACAAAAAGTGGAATTTGCTGCAAAAAATGGATAAGACATCAAGAATGTGACAGAGAGGTCAGTGAAAACGAAAAAATTTCGCTTGACAAGTTAGTCGGTATTCTCGGCAAGCAATTACGGACTTGAACAGCGGACTTTGTAACTGAACAAAAAAATTATGTCTGTTATAGAATTAGTATAGAAGAGAAAGTATTATCACATAAAAAGCAACTTAAACACTTACCATTGAAAGAAATGTTTAATAAAGTAAACAAATAATATTAAGCTTTTTTTTTGTAAATTTTGATACCCTTTAGATCATAATTGTTCTTTATTTCATAAATTATGGTTTCATATTTTTAATTTTAGAATTTCTGCATGCCACCTTACGCGATTTAAACTGATGATCTATAATCCGGAAAAATCGATAATCCGGAATCACCGAAGTCCCGGCGAGTCCGGATTAACGACTTTTGACTGTATTTAGTAAAGCCCTTTGTGTTTAAAGAGTTGTATCGTATTTGAAGGCATATAAAACGCACTTTTTTTTTCCTAAATGTGGTCTCAAAAAAGTTACCTGCATCTTATACGTAAAGGACACAGTCTTATACGTGAAGGTAATTGCACTCAATAATTGTTTATTTGGCTTTTACGAAACGTGAGAACTAAAAGAAATCACGCTATTGAAACTTTTTTCCCTTGTGTGTGGCCATCTAAATAAGGGTGCGTCTTATATGCCATCAAACACGGTAATCAAGGATATTGATAAAACAGGTATCATCGAATAGAGATTAAACAATATTTGGGACTGTTTCAATTAACCAAATTCATTTACACATATACCTTGTTTAACAAAATGTTTCTATGACAATGTCTTACTTTTTTCACCCATACTTTTTTTATTATAAGAAACAAGTGTAATGAAAAGATAATTTATTATGATCATTTATAAATAGTTAATGAATATGAAATTTCATATTTAGAATACTACCACAGTAACTTACCTCTACAGATTTGATTAATGCATCATTTTGCTTCAGAGTTTCACCTACAATACACACTTGAAATCCTGAAACCAAATAAAAGAAAAAAATTTGTCAATATCAACAAAATGAGCAATTATTAAACTAAACTGAAAAAAGTTCAGAAAAAATTCAAGCTTGAATAATCAAACTTAATTATTATAACTAAATTTATTAGTTCCTTTTAATTATTCTTCACTAAACATTAAGTCTTTTTCAAGTTGTTTTAAGAAAAGAGTTGTGCAATTGTTCATTAATATTTTTGCTCCTTGTTCATGAACCCCCCCCCAAAGTTTTTCAGAATGCATGTTAATAAAGGACATGCAATATTAAAATTTAATATGTCATTTAAACATTTAAATAAGGATACAAAATGACATTTGCCTCAATGATATAATATGGGCTGGTAATTTATTTTCACAGCTGAATTTAATTAAGTTTATCTTACTTAATTACTGAAATATTCACCGTAAAAATGTTTAATATCCAATCTGCCTTCTACGATTCAAAAACGAGCTTAACCATATCCCCACCCCAATACAGATACAGTACAAACTTCAAGATCTGGAAACAGGATTTTGGAAATTTTAGGATTTTGCATCAATTTAAGTCTAATACGATTTTCATGTAGAGATTATAATATTAAAAATATGAAAGGCTGTCTGAAATAGCTAAATTTATGATCTTAGGAAATCCAAATTTTTTTTTAAAAAGGGGAAGGGGAAAAAAGATTAGTTTTATTAAAATTTTTTGAAAACATTAATCATTTTCGTTTTATCCATTATCTTCTCTTTTCATTTTATCAACACATATAATTTCTCACTCAGTTACCATAAGCATGATGCAAGCATTTTTAAAAAAAAAATCTGTAGACCCATCCCCTCATAATCTTCCAATACTCTCCACAACAAATTTTATACTAAAAAATTTAAAGAAATCTAGGGCAGTTTTTTCTGCATTGATTTTAGAAGTTTAACTTATATCTGCACTGCGTGCAGATTTTAAGTATTCATTGGCTACTTAATGGATATAAAGTTTCGAGAGGATAGGAAAATGGAGATGATTTCTTCTACATAACTTTTAATAAGATATTAATAGCAGACTGAACAAAATAAGCTGGCTCAAAATAATAAATTACAGAAAAGCACAACTGACAGCACTAGCTGAACTTAAGTTAACTGGGACTTCAATTATTTCTCCTTCCCTGCTACGTAAACAAAAGCAAACCAGTGTGTACAGTAATCCACTCCAAGCATATACAAGTCTTCAGAGATTTATTTATGCAAAGTATTAAATCAGAGACAGAAAAATATTGCTCCCAACATAAATACAACCATTCAAGAAGTGAAAATGAGATTTGCTAACCGACAGGCATTCAAAGCCGAAACATACAGGATGATTTAATTTTATACCAGATGGCATTTTTGGCGAACTCCACTAATCTTTTTTAAAAATTGCTTACGGCATACTTGCTTAAATATTATGTTACCTAATCGCATACTGTGTTAAAAAATTTAGGGGTTGTCCAGATTTTAGACTTTGTATTGTATATTACATAATGCCAAGAATTTACATAAAATGCTACTTCTGACCGCTGATGAATGACAATCACTTCCATGCTTGCAATTTTGTGACTTCATCATTAAAGTGATTACAAAATAGTCTCTTAAACTGCCAAATTTGCAAGGTGCAACTTTTACATGTTATCAAAGGATTACGGTGCAGGTCAATATAATACGTACATCAACCTGGTACACGACCAACTGGCTAAATGGTCTTTTTCAAGACTTCTACCTAAAATTAATGAAAACAACAAAAACAATTCCGAAAACTTCCTTCGCACAATCATTTTCTCTACAGCAAATTTTTCTCTTAATTTAAAACAGTTTTGGGATGCTGTTAAGCAATTCTGTGTGCTACTCACAGAAATTTCTAAATAAGGTTAAGTTGATATTTCCTTTTTGTACTGTGCAGATTAGATAACATGTATTTCAATTTTTATGTCATTTCCGGGTTTTATTTTTATTTAAAATGCAATTTATTGAGATAACTTTTTATGTTTTATTGCATTATTTTTTGACGCCATTTAACTTGAGAACATGTTGCACGTAAATAGATACGGCAACAAAAACAAATTTTTTTAAATCACCAATTTTCGCCAAAGGAGACCCTAAAATATTTTCCTCAACTTTTTTTTTTTTTTTTTAAATTAAAGATAACAAAATTATTGGTACCGTATTTTACGGCATATAAGACGCATTGGCATATAAGATGCACCCTTATTTAGAAAGCCACACACAAGGAAAAAAAGTTCCAATAGTCCGTGTGAGAGCGCGTTACCACAATAACTTAAAATGTGGTTCCTTTTAGTTCTCACGTTTCGTAAAAGCCAAATAAACAATTTTTGAATGCAATTACCAAACATATTTTTATTACGAAAAATTAACAAACGGCAAGCTATTTTGAACATGATATGTAAATTTCAATAATGAATAAATGAATGAATGGCAAGCAATCAAACATATAATAAAATAAAGCACAAACAGCAAAAAACACAGATTCAAGGAAAACGTTGTCTATCATGAAATTAGACTTTAATCACTTTCAAAACCATAAAAATCTTTTCACTATCATCATCATCGAAAACGAGAATATCGTCATCACTGCTGTTTCCGTCATCGCTAGTATCACCTTCCTCGAATAATGCATTGTCTTCTGTTCCGTCAAGAGCATTGCTGATTCCGCACTTCTTAAAGGGCTTAACAATTACTTCAGCCTTTACGTCCTCCCAAGATCTTTTTAACCACTTGCACACTTGTGAAACAGAGGGCCGCTTCATTCTATCTGAGGGTGTGATGTGGCTCTCCTATCCACTTTTCCAACGTTCTCGCACTTTTTCCTTAAATGGCTTATTCACCGATACATCTAAAGGCTGCAATTGGCTAGTCAGTCCACCGAAGACAGCTATCTGGGTTTTTAATTCTCTAGCTTTATTCTTTATGGTTTCAGTTCTAATGGGTGCTAAACTGATCCAAAACCAAAAGAGAGGGTTTTTCTTAAGAGTCCATCAGGTCGCCTCACCCATACGTTTTGTAATCACAGTTTCATTCCAGTTTCATCCATCCAGCCTTTCGGATGAACATGAACAATTACATCCGAAGTTTTTTCTTTCGGATGAGTTTTTCTTTTAAATATGAAAAATGGTGGTAGTTTTCTGCCATCAGCACAACATGTTAGAACTACTGTATATTGGGTTTTTTTCATGACCTGTGGTTTCTATGGGTATTGATTTAGACCCTTTAATACTCACAGTCTTGTTAGTAGTACATCAAATGTAAATGGAATTCATCCATAGTTCCTATTTGACCAAGCTCAAAAGAAGTTTTTGTGTGCATTTTCAAACCTATGAAATGATAGTATTTTCTTCATAATTGCTGGCATTTTTGTGCAATAGTTGTTTTGGTCGCATTGATAAGCCTTGCTTTTATGAACCTGTAGCACCAGCCCTCAGACATGAAAAGTTCCGATCCCATTTTCTGCAATCCTTTGGCCTCATTGATTATTATTTGGTTGAAACACTTATCCCATATTCCTCTTATCATCACCACATTTTTCTGGCATTTTCAAGTCAGGCCAAGATCAAACTGTGCATTGAAGGTTTTTTTTTTTTTTTTTAGCAATTTTCAGTTGATCTTCCTGCAGTCGCCAAGTACGTATAATTTTTTCGGTAGGTTGTGGACCAAAATGCCTTGCTGCTGCTCTGTTCCTGTAGTTTAACATCCTATTTTCTGAATTGTATAGCTTAATATCTTGTTCCTGAGTATTTTTCCAGGGTATTTTTTTTAAAGAAAAAAAAAATAGTTTTAATCACCGATACTGACACGTTTATACAAAGTAGCACTGATACCGACACATGTGTCGGCTGAGTCAAAGAAAGTCTATGTAAACAAGGAAAGGCTCCATAGACGTAATGTGACCGTCAAACCTGTTCGAACTTCGACATCAGCTTCGAGTTTTGATGCTTTTTGGCGACAGATATTTCACGCATGCGTAAAAAAATTATGGCAGATGTAGAAAAAGTTATGCGTGTCTAGACCTTTATCCGGGCTAAAAATAGCATTCAGTATTGAAAGTTAAACCTGTGTTCTTCCCGTATAAGATGCAGGTAACTTTTTGAGACCAAATTTAGGAAAAAAAAATGCATCTTGTATGCTGTCAAATACAGTATTTATAAGTCAGCAAACTGTAAATATATCAAAAGATTAACACTTCAGCAATTTAAAATGCAAATTTCAAACATTAAATAAGAATTATAAGATACATTTAGCATATATATCATATGATACTTTACTCTTGTTCTCCAAATACACAGAATGATCTCTTCCCAACTGCACTGAACAAAAGTTTTATCAACATCTAAGGGGCACGACTGCCTTTATCCAGTCATGAGATTTTTTAACCACTTGATATACTATATTAGATTATAATTTAAATATTTTGCTTCCTTACTTTCTTTAATTATATAAACATCATCTCGTACTTATTATCTGCAACAGGCTTGGTGAGAAAATGAATGGCGTTGGCTCAATTTGGGCTTAAGAAACTGCAATTTGTTGCCAAATGTTATCGTGCAAAACAAAATTGACTATGATAAATGAAAAATCAGCAATTCATTCAGTACCTATGCAACACAAGTTGTTTAATATATATAAGGAATTTAATGCAATTTGTATTTATTCAATACAATTATGTAACTATTTAAAATAACAAATGTGGCAAAAAATTTTATTACACATATAAAATTCTACTTATATTTATACTTCAATACTATAATAGGATTTTGGTAGCAACCATACTGAAAAATTCATTTACTCTTTTCTTGGTGCTAATAATTGCTTCTAATAATGCCATAAACATCAAATAGTTTTTTCTATGCCAGTGGAAGATAGCAAATGGTAAGCATAATGAGCATTTCACGATGAAAAACTACAATATTGGCACAATTCTATTATGAAAAACAATACATGTGCAGATCGATAACCATTTG